TGTATTTTGTTATTAATTAGAAACCTTAAATAATTATTTTAAGGCTTCCAACCGTGATGATAGTAAACAGCACTCGCAAAACACTCGCCAAGTGGTGCCTCCGTTTAAACCTTTACCACCTGGAGCAGCGAGACCCATTGCTCAGCAGCCGGAACGTCAAAAGTTGGTGGTTGCTCAACAAAATTCCACAGTACTCAGAACTGTGCCAGCACCATCATTGTCAAACTTAGCAAACCAACAGGATTTACTGAGACAGCAGCAGCTGGTGCAGGAAGCAAAACAGAGACAGCAACTGAAATTACAGCAAGAAGCATTTGCGATGCAAATGCTGAAACAACAGAGATTACAACAACAAGAGGCTATGAGGCAGCAACAGCTGCAGAAACTACAACAACAGAAACAACAACAAATGGCAACGCAGCAAGTAAAGAGGCATCACCAGGTAGCTCCGATGCAAGTGAAAAGGGATCAAGTAATTCTTCTTTTCTATAACTTCTCTAATATTTAATTTCTTTTTATTAATTAATCTATGATATTAAACTTCCAGATGCCGCAGGCGATGGCAATTGCAGCTGGAGTACCAGGAAAAATGCCAAACATTGTTGCTGCAATTCCACCACCGAGTAGCATTGTACAACCAGACGCTGTAAGAAAGTCAGCGTCGTCGAATAACGCTTTACCCCCTTTCATCTCAATGCCACAATCATCTTCGCAGTTGACCGATCGAATTAGCAACAATCCCACCATTTTAGAAGATTCTGATAACGAGGTGTCGAAGGATGACTTTAATCAGGTACCTACTTATTTTCTGCTCGTTTATATAATTTTACTAATATCAAAATAACAATTGTATGAATTCTTTTTTTATATTAATAACTTACGAATAAAATTGTTTATTTTAATTATTGATCGTAAGAGTTATTGAATTTAATGCTTTATATTTTCATGAATCATTAGCTGCCCTTGCCAGGAGATGAAGCCGCTTCTTCTGTCAACGAGATGACTTTACTTTCTCTTCAGCCCATGGGAGCCGAATCAAGCCAGTCGCAACAACAAAATGACAAGCGACAACCGCAGTCATCATCATTACCAACCTCATTACCGCAATTAGCACCTATTCAAGGGATGGAGACATCTCTGAAAGCATTGGCGGAAGCCAGTAATATTACCCTGGAAGCTTTAGAAGCGGCAATTCTTCTTAGACAACAACAACTCCTACGAAAACAGCAAGGACCTACTAGTACAAGCACAACTACAACTACAACTATGTCGCCAAACAAGAGGTAATAATTATCAAGCTTTATATATTTTTATTCAAAACAAATCTTTGCGATTGCTGAAACAATAATTTCTTCCTGATTTTGTAGTAAACCTAATACTGGAGCGACCAAAGTAATGAACGCACCGCGAGAATATTATCCGATGGGTTACGATAAGAACTTCGATGACAATTTTGCTAGCCGCGTAGATCTTCCAGACACGAGCTTTTATTGTGGCGATCAGAAACATTTCCCAGGTCTTTATGCTGACGAAGATCTTGGGTGCATGGTAAAATATCTCTTTTCATAACACATTTAAGGTGGTTGGGAGACAAAAAAAGCCGTGTAATTAATTTTTTAAATGGTTATTGTTTTTGCTTAGGTGTTTCATGTCTGCGCATTGACAGATGATGGACTGATCATGAAGAGCTTTCTCTGTCCTGAATCAACATTATTCGATCAAACGATTCTGAAATGCAACTGGTGGTTCTACGTGGATTGCAAAGCATCGAGAAGCTTATACGATAGCAATATTCCGATTAGCAAAAGTTATCAGTTGATGAAAGCACTTGCATTTTTCTCAGCGTACAAAAATCATGACAATAGTACAACTGTTACTCAAGAAAATTCGGAGACGGACAGTTCCTGAACTGACTATAAAGAAATTGGATCCTTACCTTTAATTTACTAGTTCAATGTCTTCAGAACTTTTAATCGGTTCTACGATTGCCAATTCGCGTTCCTTTAAGTCATTAAGTCTTGGATTATTTAAAACTAGTTTCATATATGTAATGACTAATTTTCATTATTTATGTTAAAGTTGTGAAAGGGTAATTTTGTAATTTTTTCTACTTTGAGTCAGTATCCTAACGGATTAAAAAAAAATTTCTCGTAAGCTGATATAGGATGTGGGATATTGGGACTTAGAAGATGGTTCTTCAAAATTCTTTTACAATGTGACAATACTTTCTAATAGTTGTTGACGTTACTATCTTAAGCAATAAGTGTGTACATATATAATTTATGTTAGATTGTAATAAGCGTAATGAACAATTTTTTAATGATATTGTTGTACATAGTTTTGTATTAGTTTCCTCGTTGATACAACTTACCTAATAATAATTTTATTTTCATGT